AGTCATCGTAGACCGATTCTCGAAATACATCATGCTTATTCCATGCACGAAGGAACTCTCGTCAAGCGGATGGGCCAAAATCCTATGTGATGAGATCATTTGTCGATTTGGGGTGACCTCCTCTAAAGTCATCTCTGACCGGTGTTGCGACTGCAGCCTATTTATGCATGTAATTTTGCAATCTAACATGTTTTACATGCATACTGAGATATAGTGAGCAAGCAGACCAAAACTACACATCGACACTAAGGCTACGCGGTGCAATGATATGGAATATAACTTATGGCATAAGAAGCAATGGGATTCTAAACAGGACTTAGTCACAGCACTGTACCTGATGAGCATGCATGATGAGAAGGCCAAACCCTATACCCAATGCCTTAGGCTTTAACTTACAAGCACGCTCACGGGAGCTAGATAAAACCTTGAAGATTGCAGTGACACTGAGAATACTTAGCGCACTCGCTAACTGTGATGCGTCGTACCTGAAAATCCGGGGAAATCCTTAAGCGAGATGACAGATATCACCAGCACGAACTTGGGCAATGGGCTTCGGCCGAAGTCTGCAAGCCCATGTTCCATTGTTCTGAGTCCCATTGTTAGAAGCCTCACTTGTTGCTGTGTCTATGAGAAGCCTCTGTGAATCCAAGAAAGAAGTCTTGAATGACATATGCCAGGACTGATAGTTCTGGGCACCTAGACCTGTCAGTTGCTAGAGAACAAGCCCACGGGTGTCGGGAGAGCACCTCTTGGCACGCATTTAGCGAGCTCACTATAGAAATGAGACTAAAACTGGGAAGTCTGACTCGGATGCTCAGTAAGGCGGTGGTGGCAATGTGCTATGCATGTAGGAGTCTGGGTACTGCGCGATGTTTGTAATTCTAATTCCCCTGTAGTATAAGTAGGCTGGTTACAGTAGGTAGAGGCCAAGTTTCGAGCCCCCCGAGTTCCTGTGCACGTGTTGAAGGTGGTACTGTAACAAAGGATCAGTTTGTGACTTCGAGCTGTGCATAGAATTAGCGAGCTCACTCAGAGAAATATGAGATACCCTTTTGATAAGACTTTTGAGAACTTAGTCAGAGTGAATATGAATCAGTGAAGCTGTTTCTGTTCTGTTAAGTGTGATAAGTCTGTTCGGAGAATGTGTTGAAGTGGAAATCTGAGATCTGTTCTGTTCTGTTCTGTTCTGTTCTGTTCTGTTCCATGTCAGTTCTGTTTGAAGTTCCGTTTCTGAATCTGTTTCTGAGCGCTTTTGAAGTGTTCTTGAGTCGAGATAACCTGCTGGAGTTAGTTAGAGAACCCCTACATACAGTTGTGTAGCGAGTGGGCTAAGTCAGTGCTTGCCTGTGGTGTTCTTTTAGCGAGCTCGCTAAAGTTTCAGCATGTATTGCCTCTGTTTCTGTTGGGATCAGTGTCCCTTGTGTATTATAACTCAAATCTGCCTTGAAGGTTGTGTTGCGCCAGTGAACAACCTTCCTGTAAAAAGTTCCTAGACTTAGGGATTCATTAGAGAAAGCTTAGCTTTGCTAAGAGTGCTGAGAATAAGATAAACCCTTCAAGATATAGAAGTATAGTTGGATCACATTAGAAATAATCGCTCCCCCTAGAACTTACGAGGGTGATTGTAGTTGTGTAGTTGTGTGAGTGTGTGTGTGGGTTTTTGAGGTTCGCCTTTTAGCCCGCTCACTATTCCACAGGTGCCCACAGCCAGCCTCTTCACCGGGGGCCCCAATTCGTATCAAAATTCATCACTGAGCTATACGCAATGATGAATATTCAAGGAAATCCATCAACAGCCTATCACCCTCAGACGGATGGGCAAACAGAGCGGGTTAACCAAGAACTCGAAAAATACCTTCGAGTCTTCATTAACCACAAACAGGACGACTGGAGCGAATGGCTGCAGTGGGCAGCATTCGCTCAGAACAACCGCCAACACTCTGCAATGGGCTTTTCTCCCATCAAAATCATCTTCAGACGAGATGGGGAAATTCGCCCAACCATGGTGAGGCAGTCGGAAACACCATCGATAACTGACTTCGTTGAAAGCCTCCAGAGAGTATGCAAGCAAGCGGAAGACTCCCTGAATAAAGCCATCGAAGTTATGAGAAAGGCTTACGACAAACACACTCGCCCTGCACAAGAATACCAACCAGGAGATAAAGTCTGGTTGGACTCAACCAACCTTCACCTTCCCCGACCAGCAAAAAAGCTAGGTGACAAACGCGTCAGCCCCTTTGAAGTAGTTTCCAAAAAGGGGCCCTCCACATACGAACTAAAGCTGCTGCCAGGCTGGAAGATCCACAACAAATTCAATGAACAATACCTAACTCCGTACGTCCCCCCGGAGTTTTCCAACCAAGAAAAACCTCCGCCACCCAAGCCAGAACTCGTGGAAGGCGAGGAAGAATACGAAGTAGAGGAACTACTTCAGGACCGCGACCGCATCGTCGGTCGAGGGCACAGCTAGAGGACCATAATGGAATATTTGGTCAAATGGAAGGGATACCCAGTGGAGGAAGCTACCTGGGTCAAAGGAGCAATCTCGCCCATGCCAAAGAGCTCATCCAACAATACGAGAACAAGGAAGACCGCGTAGAGGATCACGATTTGCGACACTTGGGAAATGAAGGGGGATGTATAACCATATCATCTCCTGGCCCTTCAACCAAGAGCTCAACACTCTTTCCCATCAGGAATCATACCGATCCATTATCCTCTAACGAGCAGGGCTTTTATTCATCGGACACGGATGAAGACATCTTCGAAGACGAGCGTTCCAAGTCTCCTCTAACGACTCAGACCAACCCCAGCTTCCCTCAAGAAGAACGGGGCATGTCTGCTTGGGAACAAACCAAGGACTATGAATGGGATATGGAATCTACTAACTCCCTCGACTCAGGGAGCAAATACGTCTAAAGGACTGTCGGGGGGTATTATTACAGTTTTACCCCTATTTTCCTTATCTTATCTTATCTTATCCTTATCCATCGGAACCCCGGACCTGCCTATCTTATCTCTCGGACCCATGATATTCCACCAGCACACTCTTTACCCAGTTACCTGGTCGCCATCACCCCAGTTCACACTGCTGCCCCCAGATGACCAGTGACCCGCATGCACCATCACGCTTCTCTTGATGGCATCATGCTTCTTAGTAGTTGGACGAGAGTTGACCGCCAGTCAAGGGCGGCCTACAGGATGCAGCCTATTCAGACGGAGTCCCACGCAGATGCAGGTGATATGTGCTCTTTACTCTCATTCATTGGGAACATACTTCTTTTAGTGTCCTCCCTCCTCATTCATTGAAAGATGCACCTCTTGTTGCACATGCCCTTGTAGATACTATTCTTAGTACAAGTCTAACATGTATTTAAGCTAGCCTATGCTGTGGCCTCAGACCCCAGCTTCGGCTAAGGTTATATACTCCTAACTCTTACAAGCTCCCTGCTCTCGCTATAAGTGATGCCTAACTTCTCACAATCAACCAATGCCTCTCTAACACTGAATCACCGAATGCGAGTGACAGGATAGAGATCAGCCTTGGTTCAGATTAGAGTTAGTGCTTAACAGTTTATGGGTGCATAGTATGGAAGTCATCAATGTTGGCACGATAGATATTCTTCCAGGCCAGGTCATACTTCAAGTACCGGACCAGCAAGATGAATATTAGTCACAAGGGTACAAGTTTTGAGACGTACACATAAATGATTGTATACAATCAAACATTGCATACTGAAACACTTCCCACCTAAACAAGGGGTTACTGGACCATCAAGCTGGTACACCCAGTCGGTCGGTCGGTCGCCTTCGAGAGGCCTTCAAAAAAAATTCTATATCAATTTTTTTCTGCACTAATCAGCTCAAAAGTGCCATGAGGAAGCAATAATTGATGAAGAATAAAGATCTCACTGAGAATGTTGGCTGTGTGATTCTGTTAAGCATCTTCTCAGTGATAGAAATGATGAAGGAATAGTCCTGCCAGCTTGCTGATGAGGTGGATTTGGGGATTCTGGCAACATCTAGACGGGAGAGATTGGTTACTACCGGTAACTGCTTCTAACTGAGTGGCAGTGTGCTTACCAATACCACATGCTATGCCTTCATTAGGTATGTTATCCCCACAGCAGTCAGTTGGTCAGATCAACCAGGCCTTAAAACAAATATTGAGTGGATGTAATTATTTGACATCCTCGTAACCCCTTGCACCTAAAAGCCGCATGGTCTCATTGCTGATAGTGAAGTCCAAAGGTTCATTGCAGTGATCTCTCTTGTTAAGACATTATCAGGAGATCGTTCCTATCTTCATGCTGGTTTGATGTCTTTTCCCGATTTCAATAATACACTTTCTTCAAAAGACTGTTTCCCCCTGGCGATCCACATATAACATGCACCTCCTGTCCCATGCTGTCATCTTTCACTAGGAAATTCAGTTCTGTCACACTGTAAGAGATTCGTGCTGGCTCTTCGTGCCAGTACTCTTGTTCTCTCTCTCTTTCTCTCATATCTTATCATTCTTTCCTTATCTACCTTCTATAGCTCTTTTACTTTACTGCGGTGATCCTGCATCTATATTACTTATCCCACCTTTCCTTTTACCTTAGCCTTGTTCTCCTTTTAGTATTAGACCCTATCTTACTCATATATAAGACCCAAAATACTCCTACATACTCCTTAGAACTACTCGAATAGAGGTTCCTTTTACCTGGTCTTCCTCCGTTTGACTTCTCTTTGCTTCATCTACTCTCTTGTGTGCCGATAATGCCGACTCTCCATCACAGTACTGTCACATATTTTTGACCTACTAGAACCTTGATTTCAACAAAACTCGACTTCAAAAAACAAAAGCCTTACTGGCAAGGCCTCATCGATTGGAACCCTCTGGCTTGATCACCCAGATCTCCACATGACTTTGCCTCGCCAACCCAAAATTCCGACACCTCTTCTTCCCTCTACCTCTCTAAACTCGCTTCATTTTTTTTCTTCTCACTTGTGCATCTATGGCACCGTTTACCCATTTGAAAGGGGTTGCTCCATTTGCTCAGGGGCTCCCGATTCAGGGCAATAAAAAGGCAACTGCTATTTCCACTGAGTTGCCGTCTATTCATTCTAAAAATATTGCTGACCTTTTGGGGGATCTGGAAAGCCCCCTTACTAGCATTGCGAGCCTCTTGCCTGACATCAGCATGAGAAGCTCGGGCCCTGTCTCTGTAGATGAGAAGAGATTATCCTCATGGCCCATGAAGGAGGAGTCCCTTGCCTCTGAGGATTTCGACCTTTCTGGTCATTATGGCAGTCATGTTACTGCAAATGAGCCGACTTCCACGAGTTTTGCAACCACGTTTGATGTAGATCTTCTTGATTTGCAAGAAGATTCAGTTGTTCTCCATCCTAGCGATATTGAGGGATGGGAGACAGTAGGAAAGACAAAGGGTAGATGTACCCCTTCCCCAGACCCCAGTTCGAAGCCCACTGGGTTTAGCGCTAGCTCAAAGAATAGATTTGATGTTCTTTCAGATTCCGATTCGGATGAGAAAAAGGTTGCTATTGACAATACAGTTAAGTTTGTTCACGATGTGCATCAGAAACACTTCGAGAAGCAACTCCTCAATATTTGGAAATGAGTCTGGTTAGACCGAGAGGCTGCCGCAGAAGCAGCTCAACTTGAGGCTATGGCTCAAGCATTAGAAACAGGAAATAATTTGGTTTCTGATGATGACAATGGTCAAAAGACAGATGTACCTGTAACTAAGCCCTCATTGAATAAGGGAAAGGTCTGTGAATTCCATGATACAGGTATCCCTGGGATTAGCAATAAGGAGTTAGATCCTGAAAACCAACACCGTTGAAGAGGCTCTGTGCGTGCCAAGCTCGAAATGCGATAGCGTAGACACACTAAACACACCCACTCTCACACTCACACACACACAGAATCTCAGTAGTTCAGGGGAGATGTGCGATACAAGCACACAATAACAATAGACTTAAAAGATGTCTTGTGCTCTTCAAGATATAATAGCATGCTAGCTCAAAAGAATTCTCTAAGTCCAAATGCTTTTAGGACAGGAGGTGAGCGATATGTATCGCTCGGCCTCAAGGCAAAAGTAATATTTCACAAGCCCACAAATGTCCCACAAGAACGTACAACCCTCAATTGACGTTGTGTGCAACACACAGGTGGCCACAACCCATCAAACAAACTACACATGACTTAAAGCTTCGTGCTCTAAGCAGAAAACACTTTGGAAACCTTTTGTAGATCCACAGGGTTCAAACCTATGCGATCCAGAGACACAGAAACACAGAAACACATCCACAAGCCACAGGGTTTGAACCTATGCTACTTTGGAATAAACCAAAAACCCTCAAAGAGTATTGACAAGCCAAAGGGTTCGAACCTCTGCCACTTGCAACAACTCAGAATTCACAAACACATTCCGCAAACACAAATGCACATTCAAGTTATCACAATACAATATTTCTCCGAGTTGAGCACAATCAATTATTGTCCAGAATCAAGCTAAGCATTGCATGCGAGCAAGGCGTGCCTCACAACCTCTCAAGAGTTTCAAAATAATTCTAGATCCAATAATATTCTTTCGTTTGAAGCTACAAACACAATTCCTTTGGTTGCACACTAGGCTCTCTGCTTCGTGTCACAACTGCGGGGGTTCGAAAGCTTGCTACCTACTTCTAATTACCGTGCTTTTATCTACAGTTAATTATATAAATAGAAATATCAAAAATAGATATGCTCCACCCCAGAGCCATTTCCTCTCCATGACGTGTCAATTGCATGGTCACTAATTAATATCCTGAGTCAGTCACCTGAGTTAGTGCTCAGTAACATGCTGCTCTTTCTTCTTTGCAAGGTCTAGAGTTGCCACATCATGCGGAATATTTCTCCTAATTGGCTCCTTGTTTTTAATTCCTCTGTCATTCACATCACTAGTGAGTTGGTATTTTTATTTGGTTGCTGCACAACCTTTTCTTAGTTTAATATTTCATTCTGGGTACAGGGTTTCTCTTGTGTCAGCCAAAGCCCTCTCAGGAGGCTCGGACTGGGTTGTCCTTGGTTCTGAATGACGTTTCTCGGTGATTGCCAGATCAGCAGGGTTCACACATCATAGATCAACATTGCATGAAGCTCCATAAATATATTATCTTTTCAGTGTATTTTCTTTGAGCGAGACTCTGCTGAGGGATGCATAGGGTGTGAGTCAGGGCACTGAGACTCCACACTTAAATGACACCAGTGTGCTGCTCTAAGTCTAAGCCATGTGCTCCACTCGGATTATTTTATTATATGTTGCTTCTGCCTCAACAGGTGTCGCTCCATGCCGGGTATGCACTCTAATATTACTTAGTGGATTGACACACATTTGGATTCACAGAATTTGCAAAATTACATGTATGAACGCGTTGCACACGTGTCAACATCGTCAGCTGCATCATGATAAACATTGACTTTCGAGGAGGATTTCAAGTTTCCGTTGGCATCGAGGGCGCACTGATCTGTCATGATGCCCAGAATGTGGTTGTAAGTCTGCGAAAAAAAGGACAGGACCGTTATATAGTAGATACTCTTTCGTGAACTTCTCTGGCTTAAATTCAGCCGTATTTGAAAGGTGCACAGACCAGCGGAGGCCAAATTATTGCGCATCATGTGCGTGTAGTCAAAGGATGAAATGGGGAGTAGAATAGAAGCAGCAGAAGCAGGAAATAGAAAGTATTCTATGCTGGTAAGGATTAGAGCTTGAGTAGAGCGAGTGAAAAAAGATCGGGTGGTAGCATTGAAGAGCTTGCGGTGCCAGCACATCGTGGTACAATGTTAAGTGTATGGCAAACACGCGTGCAGCGTGATCTGATGACAGTTATTTTTAGATACATACACGGCCGTCGATTACCGTATGACGGCCGTGTTTATATGGTTGCTAACGGGGAACGGGATGTCCGTATACCGTCCGTCTCTGGGCAAATTATTTCGCCAGACGGAACGGGTACGGTACCCGTACGACGGCACCCGTATAACCGTACTATACGGTAACGGTGTGAAGCCCTAGACAGGACCACCAAGCCCCACATTTGATAGTGATGCCCAGACCGTAGCTTTGAGTGCACTTCTCAGTGCAATACAGCTTGCAGACGACCAGGCATCATCGACATCGAGTGATGATCCCACTTCAAGCATTACCCCTAGCCCAGGTACCGTTATGAGCTCATCTCCCCTACCAACAAAGAAAAGCTCGACTGGAGTGATAGTCGGCAGTGTCGTCAGTGGACTAGCAGTTCTGGCAGCTAACTGTGGGTATTTTACTCTTGCATAGACGGCGTCATCGAAGCAACAACGAGAGCCATTCTGATGTGGACAACTCTTCCCCACGAATGCTCACGCCATTCATGGCCACATCCATTCCGGTTTCCTCTGAGATATCACGAGAGTCTCGTATGAACCAGAAGAAAAATGCTAGATATACCGTGGGTGCGAGCAGAGCAGAATCCTCTTCATCTTCAGGGCTAGTAGAAAGAGACCCAACGCAAAGAAGGATGGACATACAGACCGAGTTGACGTCTACACTTACTCCGCCAAATCCACCGCGCACGGAGAGCAGAGAGAATATGCCGACGGAGGAGTTGCTGAGGTTGCTCAATGAACGACTGCAACCGGGTCGATGGAATGTCTCTGACGATGAACTACCGCCAGAGTATCACGAAGGACGGACTACGTAGAAATGGTTATGTGTCCACCTAGACTCGATACGGGACACTCTACGACAAATACCCTCTATTGTAATGGAATTTCTCTCATGGGGAAACCCTTATATCTTTTCCCCGGAATCTTCACGACGCTGATTTTAACAGGGCGTAAGCATCGTATTATTTCCCGGTACCACAGACTTGACATGGCACTGCGAGTGTACAAGCCAAGTCAATGCGCAAAGTCTACAAAATGATTGGTAAGACGAGTTAAAGCGGAAGGGGGTTTGGATGCTTATGACTCCGTGTACTCCACTCAGATACGCCCCGATAAAAGGCGCAGTCTCTCCCAAGAAGGCCCAAATAATTTCTTGTGTCGGAACCAAGAGTGGGTTTATAAGCAAACGCGGCTAATCGAAAGGCTGTCGTTGTAATTGTGACGATACACGAAAATAACATCCTCATACTCCACCTGAAGCCGCGCAAGGCTTTGAAAACTGAGATCTGATTGGTATACGTTTCCTGGTGACCGTATGACGGCATAATGTATTGGAAACAGATCCCTGCGTTTGGTCCTGGCATCGAGAAAGCGGTTTTATCATCGAGATAATGAGGTTCGACCTGTACAACACACGTCCCCTGGTAACTAAAGCCAGCAGTTAACAGGAGGTACTACTTTTAATTCGCAAAACCGCCGGATGTACAGGTCGCAGGTTCCGGAAAGGCAGAAGTTTGAAACTCGGCACACTTATAATGAGTACTACCTGTGCACACCTCTCTCGTGAGCAGGCTAGAATGGAGGAGAAATCGTAGAGTAGGTAACAACCTTCGGCGACGTTGCCAAGTCTTCTGAAGACACATCAAGTCGTCTGCTATCAAAATCCTTGGTGGTTCCCTTGATGGTGCTCGCAGCTAATCCGATGCATGGAAAGGCAGGCTAGGTGTAAACTTAGGAGACCAATGAAACTGACCGTTTTAAGTACTCACAGTGGCGATTCGACAGGAATGCGTAGGTCTTACTGGGTAGATTGGAAACGGCGTATCTGGTCGCATAATATTAATTTCGCAATTTCTGGCATACGAATCTTCAAGAATGAGGCACAGGCCTTGAGTGGTTGAGGATATCGGGGCTGTGTCGATATCTTGTGTATCCAAAGGCGCGCGCGAGCCAGTGAAGAACAGCTATAGAATATAGAATAAGAAAGAATAGAATAATACCGATTTTAGGTGCAGGCTCGAAGATTTTACCTTTCGGCTTCAGAATTAGTAGTAATCCATCAAGGAGGGTTTGTCGTTTGGACAACTGCGATAAATGATTATGGCCATAGGCTTGTGGTCCATCTAGAAAGTGAGGATTGCACCTACGATGCTGAGGTTCCCTTTCTCTTTTATAAGAGTCAGCGAGGGAAAACTCATAGGCGATATCGACCTCCACAATGCAGTAATCGTAGGGCTGACCGTTCGCTCTTGCTTTGGCGTGCTGGAGGAGAAGGCCGTGGGAATCCAAGCTGCTTAGTCACCGGTGTACTCGGCCCGCAACCACACAGTTACCTTGGACTCGAACGTCCATGAACAACACGCTCTACAACTTGCTTGACGATGTGTTCATCTAAAACTATCAACTTTCTTTCCACGCCTGATATCCTTATTCTCCCTGGGTGAGAATTCCTCCACTGTATAGCGTTGGTTACTGAGATTACTGACGTGTAAACGTTCACAAGGTTCTCTATCGTATGGACGAACACATTCAAACCAGACATGCGCTGCAACAGATGCTCGTCGATTGTCCCGATGGCGCGCGCACCACTCAATTCCATTCTCGTCTGGGCCGAGCACAACGATCACTTGGCATTCGAGCCACTTCATCTCTAACTTATTCTCCAGACGCGGCGCCCTCCGATGCATAGACATAATTCTTGGTAGGCACAACTACCTATATGCCGCCGATGATATCAATAATCTCTAACAGCGCATACGTCACACTTTACCAACTTGCGTCCCGATGGGCAGATTCTCGTTTATCCCCCGAAAAGCAAGATAGTCTTTACTGGGATGCCTATAACCGTGGCGAAATTCGTTCCGATGCGGCACAATAAGTGGGTATCGACCGTATCCAAAGGGATCTGGTCGGCTTTGACGATCTGGGATATCACGCGCACACAACGGTACTGCGAGTGGTGACCGAAAGGCGCGGTTTTCACTGGGCTGGGGCTTAACACGGATCCAAAATCAGAGGTGAGCGTAGTTGGTGATTGGACGGGTAAGCGCCTGTCGATATGATGAATGAACGACGACTGACTGACACAGGTCATGAAGAATCGCGCTGCTGAATTTGGACGACGATGGGACGTCGCGCGAGATTTGTTCCATCGACATATACCTTCACCCCGTCAACCTCACTGGCGACTTTATGGCACTCAACGGATTCAAAAATGGAAGCTTAACCCTGCTGGACTCGAATGTCCAAGGATACAACTTTCTTGACGATGCCGTCTTTCCCTGTCATGATATTTCTCTCTTCCGCCAGGTGAGACTCCTCTCTGTATAGTGCTGGTTACTGAGATTACAGGCATGTAAACAGTTCCACGTACTCCCGTGATTACATGACGTATGGACAAAGACTTTCAGACTCGACGTCCTTTCCAGTAGTTACCCGTATTCCCTCAATGACACCGATCTCGACCAGCATACACGCCACGCCTGCTGACTTGACTACTCCTCTGATGCGAGAGAGTGAGGCGAGCTTCACTGGATCCTGTATTTGACATCAAATTCGTCCCGGGGAGCCAAGACAAGTGGATGCTATCAAAGAAGGAGCGGTATTCACTGGGGTGAGCAGATGCAGAGTCTGAAATGAGTATCACCGTGGCGTTGGATGGGTGAGTAAGTGCACATTCGTCTGATAAACGACTGCTAACATATGTATGTCACAGAGAATCGCATATCTGCATTTCGACAGCTTAGGATCTTGCATGAAACCATCACATATCGCCCTCCGCCAATCAGCATTACCGGCGAAGTAATGTCTCTCAACGACGACATCTCCAGGATGCTCATCTACAACCGGAAGAGTGGTGAGAACAGCTGCCTTCATGGCGTAGTCGACATGCAGATAAGCATCGTCTGGCTGTTCTAATGACGCTTATTCATCTCTGTCACCCAGTACGACCACTGCATCCAAGATAACTTCACCATGAAAACCATTCTCATCGTTCGCGCGCGCTCCACCAACATCTGCACTACCCTGCCCGCCCTCAACGGGAATTCGCACACTCCTATTACTACTCACTCGTTCGGGTGGGTCGACGGCGCCAGCGCAACACTGACCTCCATTTCAATCTGATCTGAGAGCGACAATCCCCGGGAATCAGTGCTGAACTCGCTCGAACTCTACTTATTCCTTCTCTTTCTTCCCATCAACCCTCACCCGCATAATATCATCTCGATGCGGTGCGCTTCGATACACAGATGTCATCCTCGGAAAGTGGGGTACCGCAGTATGGACACGTCCCACGATCGTGCCATGGACTCTCATGGCCGCCATCTTCTCCAAACTGCTAAACCCCGCTGCGCAAACTGTGTTCGTGAGTTATGCATCAACACCCACAATAACTGGACCGCATTGGAGAACGATGGAGAGCTTGGGAGGATTGCTCTTGGGTCGGCGTTTTGGAAGACTATGATTGTTCAGTCGTAATCGGAATATATAATCTTCGTGGCGTGCATCACGTCTACTATGACGGTTCGAGTCGCATTCAAAGGATCACAACGTCGACTATAAGGTGGTTTTGAATCCATTTCCTGTTCATCAAACAAAGGGAAGTGAAGCCTTGGTTTCTGCGTTCCTGCCTTCTGCGAAGGCGATTACGCTTTCACTATAAGGCGTGGGGTTATCTGGTGGGTCCCTGGAAAACTTTAAGATAAACAGATACACCGGATCGGATTGCCAGACTCTTTTGCCGGTTTGCTCAGATCATATCGGAATCACTTCTAAGTAAGGTACTGCGTGTATACCTTTGTCCCTGTCCCGTTCCCTCCTTTCTTCTTGCCCTATATGCCCCTGGGGTTCTTCTATGTTATCCAATTCGTGCCACTATCTGATAGCACTCGTTTGGGGCCAGTCATCTACGACTATCGGCCGCATCGGCCCGTAATCCTGGTGAACTCGAACATGCATGAATGCGACCTACCTGATGATATCATCGCCTTTCTCTGTTCCAGATATCCTTCTGCACTCCCAGGTAGGACTCTCCTCACGGTGCTGCGCTGGTTACTGAGATACCAGGCATTTATACAGCGAGTCTGCTTTGTTCAAGTGTCGTTCTAATCTCCGTTTTAGCCTGATGCCATCTTGGATGGTAACTCGCCTCATCAACCTCAACCTTGATGTACTCTGTGCGAGCACTTAATGTCAATATTCGATCTTGATTGTTTTCCAAGTCTTACTACTCAGCATAGCGTTCCAAAATCCGATCGCGCACCACTAGTAAGGAGGCTCCTCTACTAAATTCTTACTACCGCAAGTTCACTTTCGAGTAAGAATCAAGAATCCTCCTCAGAACATCAACAACAATAAATATCACCTTCCTCGTCCTCTGTAACCAGGGTCTGATATCATTGTCGCCTTTTGTTTTACATAGCCCCTGACTGACCCCCAAGTCATTTAGTGCCTCGATTCCCATCTTCTTCCTAGCTCGCTCATCTTTCTCATTAACGTCCAAGACAGAGACATATCTAGTCTCTCGAAATGCGGTCTCTCCTTGTACGGATGCTGTTCGTGCCTTTAATGGCATCGGGTGTTGCACAGGAGCTCACGCCCTCTATTCTCTGGACAGTGAATACCACTTCTCTGATTGATAACAGCAGATGCTAATCTAAGAACTAGAACCCTAACATCACGTCGTCCAAGGACGACCGCATTAGTATTGCAAGTGCTGCTCTCGAAAAGGCGATTAGCATGCTCCAGCCCAATGGGCAATTCAACGGTGCGTTTTACTCAATTTCCAGGATTATGCTTCCATTTTAAGTATCCTCAGATACTACATACGAAACCGCTGGCAGGCTTTACGCACAAATGGCCGAATTTGATAGACTGACGAACCAAACCAAGTACAAGCAAGCGTTGAAACAGTGTTTCGCGCTGGCAGAGTCAGTCAGTTCTGAATTCTTGACCACGACGTCAGTAGGTTCTCACTATACCTTCACGATCGCTGCTGACCGACCTTGATACAGTGTTAGTTCTGTTTCCTGCAAGCACTTTCCGAATAATTAACTGACGGTGCCATTCCCGACGATAGATAGAATATGGGTTGTGAGTCATATCTTCTGCTGACGTTGTTTTGTTCCTCATGTTCCGTAGGAATTATGGATACGCTGCGGCTCGGGCTTACGACATTTATCAAGACCAAGACTTCCTCGATCTGGCCTTGACATCGTGGACTTCTGCGAGGCGATACACATTATCTCAGGAGCAAATTGCCTCGGGCACCACAGATGTTAAGCAATTCAATGTCTCAATTTCGTGTCAAGGCGGTGAGTGTCACCAATTACTACAGCCGATCTGTGTACTGATCCTGGTTCACAGTGATGGCGGGCGGCACTTTTGAGGTGAATCACTTTTTACATCCACATCTCGTTAATTAATCAACACACTAGACCACTGATCCCAACAGCACAATCATCACCAGTACGGTCTCTGGGTTCGTGTACTTTTTTCATATTTTAAATTCTTGGTTAACTCTGTACGACCAGATTTTTTCTCGTGTGAGCACTGTAATCCCCTCTGATATGGGGTATACAGTTAGCTGACTACGCAAAGCGTTTCAGCTCTATTGGCAGAAGTAACATCGAACCAGACGTATCTTGATGCTGCCGTTGAGTCAGCAAATTTCATACAGTCGTATCTTCTCACTCCGTCCGGCGATGTAAAGGATCTTATACTTTTAGGTTTAGACGGATTTTGTGATAACGAAAACCCATTTATAAGTGTGGACTCACACGCACCCAATGTCGGGATCTTCGTTGAAGGATTGGTCAGCCTAGCGGATATCACGCGTAACGTGTCAACTGAAGCCTTGTATGTGGTGAAAGATCCTAGTTGTCCACGTACTGAATCACGACTTCTGCTAGGTTGCGCAGTACTGTCCTTGCCGTTACAAACAATACGAAATGGCAAGGATTGGACGGAGTCATTTCTAGTACGTCTTTTTGTCCTAACTTTATGCCAAGAGCTCATCGTTCTTGTTTCGCGGCAAAGCTACTGACACTGGAGGGCATTACATTGTACGGGCCTTGACGGCGTTATATGAACGCAACAAAACAGCCTCGGATCTTCGCGAGTACATCAAGGAATATATTGGCGTGCAGGTGAGCCCTCATAAAATCTACCCCTCTGGTTTACAAAATTTATTTTACTTTGGTGCAGTATAATGCCGTCATTAATCAGGCCACTTCAGGCGGTAGTGACATTTACGGCATACCCTGGACAGGCCCACCGAGCACATCGTTCTCCAGTGATAACCAGACTGTAGCAATAAGCTCGTTGCTCAGTGCAATACAGCTTGCAGACGACCAGGCATCATCGACATCGAGTGATGTTCCCGCTTCGAGTGCTACCCCTAGCGCAAGTGCGAGCACATCCCCGCTGCCGACAAGGAAGAACTCGACTGGAGTGATGGTTGGCGGTGTCGTGGGTGGACTGGCAGTTGTTGCGATTATAATTGTGGGCATCCTTCTCCTTCGTAGAAAGCATCGCCGAAATGGCGACAGCCATTTTGCTGCGGACAACTCTTCCCCGCAAATGGTTACACCATTTATAGCTACATCAATTCCAGTTTCTTCGGAGATATCAACGGAGCATCATATGAACCAGGCGAAACATGCTAGATACCCTGGGGTTACGAGTGCAGCAGAGTCCTCTTCACCCTCGGGCGCAGTGGAGAGAGACATGGCGGGGAGAAGCGTGAATGTACAGATCGAGTTGACGACTCCACTGGGGGTCGCCGCGGGTTCGCCAAACCCGGTGCACGCTGAGAGAAGAGAGGATATGCCTACAGAGGAGTTGCTGAGGCTGCTTAATGAACGACTGCAGCCGGGTCGACAGAATGACTTGGATGATGAGCTACCGCCAGAGTATCGAGAAAACCAGACTATGTGAATTGGATTATACTCTACCGGCTGCACATTCTGGTCTGGAAAATTTATCTGTTTGAATGATGTGATTGGTGCATAGAAGTGTCAAAGATATTACCTTTCTACCTCGGATTTACTATTCATCCAAGGAGAGGTTTGGTAGTCGGAGAGCTGCGAGAAGGCGAAAGTTTAAAGCGGTGAAAGGCCTCAAAAACGAATCTCTCTAAAGTGTACGGTTCCTGCAGAGTTCTGAGCATCTTCGAGAAGCACTGGCCCTGAGGCTCGTGCTTTTCATGCTGAAAGTTGAGTGATGGAGAGGATAAAAGTAAAACTACAGGGTCCCAGTTCATATCGAGGGGAGTCGGCGTATTCCCAAAAGAGTGGCCCCAATAATGAGCTGGTGACTTTTCTGGAACAGCGTCAAAATCAGATAAAATAAGAGACGGTAATAATTTACCCCAGGCCTTCATACACAGCCCGGATTCCCATTCCAAGTCCTCAAATGCGGTCCTCATACCAAACGGCTTGATCTTCGTATTGCATAACTAATCACCGGAGTTCCTCCAATCCTTTCATCAACTGGATCGCCGTATTCCGCCATTGACTTGCTACTCATCAAGCTTTGATTCTTTAAGCAATCTATGCATACATATCAGCGTTCTGTCGCACAGGCATCAGAGAAAAGGGATTACTGAATTCGACTAATCCTCGCCATTATATTCATCGCCCAGAACTTCTTCAAGCAGATAGCAACCACCCTTATCTACCCAGTGACCTGTCAAATATCGTACAGCTCCCTCTGACCATATTTAGATCAGGTACCGCCAATGTGTGTGGGCTAATTCATGAGGATGGCGTCATCATTGGAAGGAGTGAAACGAGTTACGAGAACGAGATGAAGGGAGCGACGAGTATGCATGTCCTCCAATGTGATGGTAGCCCCATTTTGACTTCCCCATGACGACGGAGAAAGTGTTGGTCGATAATCTCGTCCTTATACCAAGGCGAGGCATCTAGCCCATTCTATCCAAACTCAAAGGAGAATTACCAGGGTGCGTGGTGTGGTCGAGTTGCTCCTATTTTATGGCTTTTAATGTTGAGTGTTGTTTTTTAGGCTCGGCCGGGATGTATTTTTAAATGGAGAGAATCCGCGTCATGGCTTTAATATGAGTCAGGACTGCTCCTTCGCATGGAATAACACTACTCACCAGTTTTTGTTCAAATGAGATGCCCTGGGGGCAGTGCGTCTCTAGCTATACCGGCTCGATTGGCCGATTTTTTCACGGTTCCGGCGTATTCCGGCTTCGGTATCATGCGGTCCCCGATTCTTTCCGAATGTAATGAGGAGAAGAGAGGGCTTTGTCAAATTGAAAACGACGTTTTGCCCACTGTAGGGTGTGGGCAGGGGCTATTTGGTCAAAGTTTGCTGATGCGTGCAAGATGTTGTCGAACAAACACCTTTTCCGAGAACTCTGGCCAATAGGATGAGATCGTCGTGCCGAGTTTGAGTCATGTTTGTAAAATTGGTTTCGTCCGCTCAGTCATTTTGGTTCGCCCGTTTACAATGTCTCCGCCGCCTTGTGGTTCACACGTACGTCACTCCTTGTTTTTAAATAAATGTGCTATGTTCAGAGTAGTTTCATCCCCCAGATAATCTGTTGTAGGCATCTAACAGACCATGTTTTTTTGCTTGCTGTCTCCTGTTGATCTTTTTCATTCAGTCCGGAACATTGTATAACACATCTATGTCGTCCGATATTACGTGGCATGTACAGTTGAAGGTAAGGCTTTCCAATTGGATCTTGTTGGATATCAAGCTCGTGGCTCATGTGTTTATTGGTAATCAGTCACGTGTACATACCAGTATACTTTCGTAGCTACGCTTCTCTCTTCTTTACTCGATTGACTATGTACTCACTGCTCATGCATCATGTACTGCGTCAATCCCGTATTCGTGTCCTGATCCCTCATACCCGCTAGGATTATTTCAACAGATCTGTGTTCGACACTTACTGGCAACTATAGGCACGCTTGATCTGTTTGTTGGGGATTTAAGGGCAGCATCTATTTGAAGCCGTTCTACTCTATTTGTTGCGCTCGGTGCTCTCAGTGTTTCTGCTCGACGCTCCTAGTGTTTCTGCCCTTGTCCTTTTATATCTCGTGTACACTGCTTGGTTGGCGACATGTTTTTGTATAAACGTCCGTGTCGTGTTACCCGTGTTCTCGCAGAGGAAGACCATCCTCCTTGTGATGTTGAACACAGTGTTTCTGACGTTCCGGTTTACTATAATGTATTGTACTACCCAGAACTGCATGATAATGTGTTTTCTTCCTCCAAAGTGGTGTGTAAGTGGTTGAAGCGATCGTTTGCGCTGTATGCAGGCTGGGTACATGCACGTGCATTATATATCAATGGCTATTTTGTGATTGAGGACGCTGTACTCGATGCTCGTCTTGTTTTAAGTGCAAGCACTGATACTAATTGAGATCTTACATCAAACGGCGACCGCCCTTAAGAACCCAGGGTGCGTCGCGATCTCAAATCCAAGTGTAACACGTCTCTGAAGGTCTGGAAATAAATAAGAATGGTGGCGGAGCAAAACGGAAGCAAAGGAAAGAATCGGGGACCGGCGTGGAACCGCCGCTACAGGGATGTAGATACATTGAATACAACGGCAAGTGGAGAAATCTTGGCGGATATGTCAATAATTTTATTCCCGCGACAAAGCTTCAAGATGCGATGCGTTGGTTACCAGTCAAACAGAGGACAGTGTTTCCATCTTAGTTCGCAGATCACTCTAGGTTTCGAGGTATAGCATCGAAATCAGGACAGGATAAGTTAACGTTGAATTCATACGTCAGACGATACCAATTCATGTTGTAGGCGGGGCCAGAGATGACTGAACCAGCATAGATACAATATACCGACCTCAGAAAACAGAAGAGGCTTCAATTTGCGTCAACTGAGCTCTGAAAGCGTCACTGAGCATCAAGGGAATGTCGAAAGATATAGTGCTCCTGAGTGCCTGTGGAAGACGCGACCGCAGCTCACTCCAGCTTACGAAAAAGAAACAAACGCGCGTGGCTCGCGTGCCATTGATGTCGTCGTGACTCGTCAGCTCATTCAGCGAGCATTGAGCCCCTCAGATATAACAATGGATAATAAGCCTAGTTAGCGTTGGAGAAGCAAGCCGGGACCGGGAAGAATGGGCCGACAAAGGCAAACAAGTTCAAATACACCGGATCGGATTACCGAATACTTTCACTTTTCACCACCATCACTGCGCTTGCTGTCGTGAGTTTGCCATGCTTTCTCCCTTCTTCCCGCCCTCTATGCCTCTGGGATATTTCTATGTTATACCTTTCTCGCTGCGCTGTCTCACGTTAGTAGTCCAAGGCCCGTCATCGATAGCGACAACATCCACAAACATCTGCTGCATCAGCTCGTAAACCTGCTGGATTCGAATGTCCATGAATACGACTTACTTGACGGTACCGCATTTCCCTGTCATTGGTATTCCTCTATCCCGCCAGGTGAGACTCTTCCCTCTGCGCAGTGCTGGTTACAGGTGTGTAAACGGATCTACGTACTCACATCATTACACGACATATGGACAAACACTTTCAGACTGGACATGCTCTCCAATGGTTACCCGTATTCCTTCAATGATACCAATCTCGACCAGCATACATACAACGCCTGCTGACTGGGCTACTCCTCTGATGCGAGCGAGTGAGACGAGCTTCACTGGATCGCCTGTATCTGAGATCACATTCGTCCCGGGGAGCCAAGACAAGTGGATACTGAACGTGTGGAAGAAGGCGCGGTATTCACTGGGGTGAGCAGATCCAGAGTCTGAAATGAGTATCACTGTGGCGTTGGATGGGTAAGCGCCCATTCGTCTGATGAACGACAGCCAACTTATGTATACCACAGAGATTCGCATTCCTACATTTGGACAGCTTAGTAACCTTGCATGAAACCATCGACATTGACCTCCGCCAAGTCAGCATCACTGGCGACGTAATATCTCTCACCGAACACACTTCCAGGATGCTCGTTTACAACCGGAAGCACGGCGAGAAATCCTACCTTGATAGCGTACGCGACATGCAGGTAAGTGTTCTCTAGTTGTTCTAACCACCTTTATTCATATCTTCCACTCACAGTACGATCACTCCGATCACTCCATCTAAGTTATCTTCACCACGCAAACCATCCTCGTCGTCCTTGCGAGCTCCGTCAACCTCTACACTATCCCGCCCGTCCTCGACGCGAAATGCACACCTCCATTCCTACTCACTCTTTCGGCTGGGTCGAAAGCACCAGCGCAACACTCGTCTCCATCCTCATCCGCTCTGAGAGCGACAACCTCCGGGCATCATGCATCAATGCATCAGAGCTCAAGTCGTTCGAACTGTACTCCCTCTCTTCCTTCCCACCAACCCTAACCAGCAAAATATCTTCCCGGCACGGTACGCTTCGATGCACAGACGTCATGCTCGGGAACCGTGGAACTGCAGTATGGATCCAGCCCCATGATCGCGCGATGGTCTCCCACTGGAAAGAACACGATGGCTGCGAGACGCTCATGGCGGCCGTAATCCCCGGACCGCTGAATCCCACCGGACAAGTCCCCGTTCGACTGGTGTGCTCCAACATGCTCAATAAATGAACCGCGCTGGATTATAACGAAGAAGCCGAGAGAATCGCCCTCGGGTCAGGGTTTGCGAAGATTACGATTGTGCAATCGTAGTCAGAATGTATAATTTGTTATTTCGTTGCCCTTTTGCACGCAATGAAGGGTTTGGGCTTAGGGTTATGACACGGCATCTGCAATTCAGTTGTCATCATTCCGTTAACATGAAAAGATGGGCATCACTCAATCTCAAATCTGCAATATTTGTATGCTATCCATAATGCACGCGTCCTCCCTCTCGCATCCTCTCACCCGTTTGAGCTTTACACCATACCTTTTCTCCGCTTCACGGAAGTCTACAGAGACTCCTCTTCCCATCATTGTCTATTCCAGAGCCTTTAGTTGATGATGATGCAAACTGTGTTCTTTCCAGAATCCTACGTATTGTTCTCCCCGACGTGAGAATACTCAGCGCACCTTGCTTCCTTTAGCTGCCTCATGGCAAACATGAGATGGTATACATCAATAACCTTGCGAAAGTCCGGGAGCTATCGATGTGGGTAGCATGGAATAAACCTACATCTTCCGACAATAGAGATGTAAATCATCAAGCCGAGCCCAATACAGTAGGCTCGGGCCCGGCTGGGCTCAGGCCGGCTCGGGTCAGGCTTGGGCTCAAGCCCAAGCCCGCACATCACTAATCGCTACCCGAGAATGGCATGGATGTGATCGATTTTTGAACTATTCTTGCTGGGGAACTTATCGTTGCCGAGCTTCCCGTCTAAGCACAACGGAAGGCTTCCGTGGTACAGCGGACAGGACACCGCGAATGGCCTGTACTATCTCACCACCATAAAATATCTCGGGCCCCCTTTGCACGAAGCCATCTTTTCTTCGAAGAACTCAAAAACGGGCCATCATCTTCTTCCCAGTGTCTTCAAAACGAACTTCTCCATGCTCGGTATCGCCTAGGAACCAAACCCAGATCATATCTTCCGTATACTCTCATACGCCACTCGCGATTTCACCGCTAACTCTCATTATTTCTTCAATTTTCCGTATTTCGCTAGCGAATTTTGCCACGAGGGACGTTCCGGAAGGAAATGAGATCCAATCTCGTATACGTATGTCCTCACATCCAAAGCTGCTAGTGGCTTGACAGGCTTATCTGCTGAGGATTGATCTTTTTTTTTTGCCGGTTCATATGCGGTAGGCAGGCTTACCGCGAAGCAGGCCAAAGTCCGTAATGAATGGCGGACGAAGATCACAGTTGGTGGAGAAGATCATTCTCAGGAGTTCTATATGGAGGAAGTGTTCGTATAAGAAGATAAAGAGCGTTCGAGGATGAGCATTTAGGTGTGTACTTGTGCAGATACACCTGTACGACGGGACGTTTCTGTCACAACAGGGCGATATTCTTCATTTTCTCTTTTTTGTACATTATGCAAGCAAATGAGGAGCATCCTTAAATTGAGGGTGAGACGCCCCTGATGTTCGGCTTTAAGAACGAGGTAAGCAGTCATCCATCGTTTACGTAAATGAACATCTTATGAATGTGTGTTACGTATAGTCTTCAGGCGTGGACCGGTGCCTCACGTCGAAGTGTATTACTAGCTGTCCTCCTATGGAGGCCACGGCAATTTCTTGACAGTGTACCAACATAATGTAAGTATTTCCGTTTTGATCAACATGAGATAATGGAAGGGTAAACTGATGTTTTTTTCGCTCTAAATGATATCCATCACCAGGAGCTTCGCAACGATATGTACATACTACACATTTACGGCGCGCAACATGTGCATGCCAGGAACCCTTCTCGCTAGGCAAAAGTATCCATTTCTTCAGCATCCGTTTGTGATACGGCGGTGACTGTGTGAACAGACCTTGCGGTCATACCTGTCATGATTGGTATGGCCTTCTCGAAGTGCTATTTTAGCGTTGATGTCCTTGAGTCGGCCCCGTCTCGCAAAATTTCTTCCTCTATTGTGGGGACTCTACTTGCCTTGATTCGTCCCCGCTTTTAACACTACGCCCTACTTCCCACGTTGTCGAACTTGAACAACCTTGCGACTAACGCACGGCCGGTGAGAGAATGACCAAGGGTACGTACGCTTTGTCAACTTTTATTCCACGGCCTCGTTCTAATGACATCCGGGGCAGTCCAACGTCGTAAAGTTAAATGGCAGAACCGGTATAGCGTTGATGTTCTTCCACTATCGCTCATCGAGGATGAAATGGTAAGTGTGTAGAAGAAAACCAACAGGCAGATGAAATTAATGTATTGCAGGCGGAGCGGACGTGTCCCGAGTATCGAGACCTGTCCTTGGTCACCATCTCCGCCCTGACTGAGACTGGACAAGCAGAATCGTCCATTCAAGTTCCAAACCAGCGCGCTTTCACTGGTAGAGTGCCTGTCATATCATCCTCTCTCGCCGATATTCCCTGTGCCGACCTTGGCATTGAAGGACTCTTAGAAATGCTCAATACCACCCTCGGAACGTCCTACACTCTTGACCGCCCGTCTATATGCTCCCGTCTCTTAGGGAAACTCTGCTTCACCCTCAGAATACCACACGCCCTATCCTTACGCTCTGTTCTCAAATCCTGCATCGCCAAAAACTATGACTTGGGCACCGCATATGCCCATCTCCGCCCAACCTTGACCGCCGCTCAAGAAATGCTACTACACTCACGTGAAGAGCGGGACAGGGAGATGCGACGAACTGTGCTGGTCAAGAAATCGATCATATGCCGTTCGGTGCCTCCCCGACGCCTCTGGGATCTCTACAGTAATCGTGTAGTGCCAGAGTGGGTAGTCCCCAACTGGGGGAAGCTATGGGCAATATCACACGCTTGGGTGGATGAACACGACCGGGGCGGTGTTTGGACACCTATCAATGGATACGAATGGCCCGTACCCATCCCAAAAGACGCCGACCTGAACCACATCCAAATTGAAATGTTGAATCTGGGAGCAGAGTATGTACGGTTAGATGTTCTCTGTTTGAGGCAGAGTGAGGAGGGTGGGCCAAACGAAGATCTGCGCAGGGACGAGTGGAAGCTGGACATACCAACCATTGGATATGTCTATCGCATGGCTGAAAGGGTACCGTGTTACTTCAATGGGTTGGGGCGACCCTTGAGTGTCAGCGCAAGGAACATGGACGGTGACCGTTCTTGGTTTAGACGTGCATGGACGCTACAGGAGGTTAGCAATCATCCTATAATCAGCGGTAAAACGGGTGATAAGGGGGATATGGATGAAGACGTTAAGGAGAGGTTCCACAAAGAACTGGCAGCTTTGAAACGTGTCAGACGACATGCGCTGGACAGCAGCATCCAGGTGTTTGATTTGCTTCGGCACATGCAGAATCGAGTATCGACCAATCCCGTGGATAAAGTGGCAGGGCTGGCATATACCCTGCCCTCGGGGTCGATACCGGCGTACTCCGAGATGCAGTCTGTTGAAGAAGCTTGGACGGCACTGATAAACGTAATGTACGACGGGTATCGGGGGGATATATTCTTTCTCTATCCTGAGCCTGGGGGTGGAAACAGCAAATGGAGACCGACATGGCAGCAGGTCATGACTGATAAGCTCCCGTTAACGGATGGCCTTCGATTGTGGGAGGAAGTTCATTTGGATACGATCAGGGATGCAGATTGGTATGTTGGTCTGTGCATAGACAGGTGCTATGTGCGAGGATTGGCTATGGAAGACCTAGGAGGAGAAATAAGACTTGCCGAGCTGAGTGTTGAAGATTGCACCGGAACAAGACACACATTCAAAATCGTGGCTACCTATCAGTATGCAATACCGGAAGACTGGTATACAGTGATCGGGAGCCAGGATGCAGAAGAATGCGGGATGTACTGGGCAGTCGGACGCCGACGGCACAGGAAATTCGAGAAGGTGTCAGTGTTCAGAATGACCGATAGCCGAGAAAGAGAGAGGCTGAAGAATTTGGAATTCGCAAAGAAGCTGGTTAAAAATTATCTCGTGTAAGGTGAATGAAATGTTGGCTAACGACGTACATAACGCGACAACATCATCGTGGTCCATGCACTGTGGTTGCAAAGGCTCATACCGTTGTATCGTGCACAATGAACCTTTGCATTAGATTTATATATCTTCGAAATTCGAACAAACATTCTGTCTGTGTATTTGTCCCCAGCCAATGAAGTCAACGAGACCTCTTACACAACCGAAGTACGGTCTACCATACTAGCTTGATTAGAAGCGAAACTTGGACGACGACAGACAAGCATACCTTGGACGTTGCCTGGGAATGGCCTCACTGACGAGACTCTGTCAATACATAGATGCCTACTTCGCTCACTGTACAGGCAATCAGACGTTATGGCTGATAAATGCACTGAGAAAACATACCATCTTCTACCAAAAAAGTATGTCATCTTGGGAGGCTTAAAGGTACCTCATTTCTGGTGCACGCATGATCTGCGAGAGGGAGCGTGCGGTCTTCATGCGTCGTAATCACCTGATTCCTTCCTTGTGGTGTCCAGTGTTGTGTCCTAGTAGGAAAATCTGGGTGACGTAAATAGGTCTGCGAGGATTGGAGATGATACTCGTAAAGACATCTTGAAGATATTTTCGTAGGATTCGCAGGACTCTCCCGATGGACAAACATAGACTAGCCGGCGAGGGAAGTTGACGTCGCATTTTTGCTGAGGTGTGGTGCTTCTTCTGTTGGTACAACGAGCGCCCAACCTATCTTTGGGAACGACTACGATGCACTACTGCGTGAGCCAGTCGGTTAGAATGCAAGTATAAGTGTTTCAGTGAAGACTGTTGCGCACCTGAAAAAGCAGCATTTATGCAACCAGGTCCTCCGAAAGCCGCTTTCAGTCCGAGCGATATAATTGTCGGGGCTACGGTCGACATTATCTTCAGTGGAACCTTAAGAGTCTATAGATTAGTCGATGGTCGCAATAATCGTTCCTCGTATCCATTTGCTTCCTTATGACTATCAGTCATTTTTACTGGCATCAAGATGGACTACGGGGTCTTGTTAGACAGAAGATGGAAAGAATGGGTAGCCCTTGCACCATCACTGGAACTCTACAATGGTGCTTCGGACCCTCTCTTGGCTTGACGGTACCACTGAGACAAAAGACAATCACATGCCATCACATCGGAAGCGTATTCAAACTGAAGGCGAGGTAATGGCCAGTTTGACGAGCAATTCTTGAATTGGTGTCACCCAGTTAACACGCATGTTAAGCTTGGTCATAATAATGAAAATAAAAAAGAATAAATTTGGTCTATCTGTTTGAAAGGATAAGCCAAAGATTCCAGCAGACTGGAATGGGCGACATACCTAACTTTGTGTTGGTAAGAGAGAGAGAAGCCGGGAAACATTAGCCCATGATGTCAAACAGGTGCAAATAGGCCAGATCGAAATGCAAACTCTTTTAGACTCTTTTGCATTGCTCAGCTCATAATCACTACTGTTTAATATTTACGGATGTCCCCACTGTGTCCTTGTCTTGTTCTTTTCCCTTCTTCTCTCCCTCTATGACTCTTTTCTTTCGTGTCATCCAATTCACGCTACTCTATCTGAAAGGTACTCATTCGGGGGCAGTCCGAGTCTTCAACAGACAACGTCTACAGTATTGATGAGCTTCAGCCGCATCAGCCCATAATCCTAGTGGACTCGAACATGGATGGATTTATTCTTCTGCTTCCCCAGGTAATATCCTCCCCACTGTACTGCATTACTTACTGATATCACAATCCGCAGTCATTTATGTGGTTCCGCCCCCCATTATATCAATGCTGTCTGTAGGTTATCATAAACCGTGATATATCAATCACCTATTTTCGAGAATTTAATCATCGACCCGGGAGCTTCGCTTGATCATTTAACTGTCCTGCCAAGAGAAAAATCCAAATAGCAGATCGGTATTGTTTCATGACAAAAAGAGCGGTTTGACATTAGAAAACAGTCTGGGAAAAGTCGTGGTCAGGTGACATTGTGCGAGCAGGTCTAACAGCGCTTTTCAGTGAACTAACGACCCCGCACAATGTAGTATAGTCACTGCCCATTGGCCAGGCCGTGAAATATTTCTTTTCTATGCAATTACATACGTGTATGTCTCTACTTTCTTCAAGAACTGTTCTAATTTTAATCTACATTTTTAGCCTGATGTCATTTCAGATGCCAACCCGTGCTTCATCAATCTTGAACTTTGTGAATAACTCAGTTTTGAGGATCTAACCTAACCAAGTTCTAACCTCTGTTCTTATTAGTCAGGCTACCAGTGATACACATCTTGCCGGTGACACTCGTCGACTGATAGCGACTCACCTGATCAACCTCGACCTTGATGTACTTTATGCGAGTACTCAATGTCAATAGTGAATCTGTCTTCTTTTCCTGGTCCTACCACTCAGCATAGCGTTACAAAGTCCGGTCATGCACTACTAGTGAGAGGACTGCTCTACAGAATTCGTACTATCTCTTTCGAGTTCAAGGATCAGGAATTCTTCTTGGCAACATCGACAAAAATACATATCACCTTCCTCATCCTCTGTAACCAGGGTCTGATATCATTGTCATCTTGTTTGGCATACCCCTGACTAATCTCCAAGTCATTTAGTGCATTGATTCCCATCTTCTTGCCAGCTTGCTCATCCCTTGCTTATCGTTCCCATTATCTTCCAAGACAGAGACGTATCTATTCTCAAGAAATGTGGCCTCTCCTTCTTGTATACTTGCCGGTGGTGTCTTTTATAGTGTTGGGTGCTGCGCAAGACTTTACACCTTTGATTTCTTGGAATGCGAGTACCGCTTCTCTGGTTGACAAGAGCACATATTAACATAAAAACCAGAATCCTAACATCACATCGTCCAAGGATGACCGCATTAGCACTGCAAGTGCTGCACTCGAAAAAGCAATTAGCATGCTTCAGTCCAATGGGCAATTCAATGGTGTGTTTCATTCACTCTATTTCCAGCATCGAGGTCCCATTTTACATATCCTCAGATTCCACATATGAAACCCCTGGCAGGCTTTACGCACAAATGGCTGAATTTGATAGACTGACAAACCAAACCAAGTACAAGGAAACGTTGAAACAGTGTTTCGTGCTCGCAGAGTTGGTCCATTCTGGATATTTGAATCCTGTGTTGTTAGTATATACTGTCACCATACCTTCTGGATCGCTGACTGACCTTGATTCAGTGTTAGTGCTGTTTCCTGCAAGCACTTTCTGAATAACTGACGGTGCCATTCAAGACGATAGCCAGAATATGGGTTGTGAGTCATATCTTCCGCTGACGTTCTCTTGCTCCTCATGTTCCGTAACGCTGCGACTCGGGCTTACGACATTTATCAAGACCAAGACTTCCTCGATCTGGCCGTGACATCGTGGACTTCTGCAAAGTGATACACATCATCTCAGGAGCAAATTGCCTCGAGCACCACAGATGTTAAGCAATTCAATCTCTCAACCTCGTGTCAAGGCAGTGAGTCACGGTGTCACCAATTACTACAGCTGATCTGTGTACTGATCCTGGTTCACAGTGACAATGGCGGGCGGCACCTATTATGTGAATCACTTTTTACATCCATATGTCATTAATTAATCAACACACTAGACCACTGATTCCAATAGCATGGCCATTAGCAGTATGGCCACTGGGTTCATGTGCTTTTTTCATTTTTTAAATTCTTGGCTAACTCTCTACAACCAGCTTTTTTCTTGTGTAAACACTGTAATCCCCTCTGACATGGGTATGCAGTTAGCTGACTATGGAAAAGCATTTCAGCTCTATTGGCAGAAGTAACATCTAATCAGACGTATCTTGATGCTGCCATCGAGTCCGCAAATTTCATACACTCCCAACTTCTTGATTCTTCCGATATTGTGCTGGAGTTTATATCATCAGGATCAAACAACTCTTGTGGAACAGAGTCAATCATTGACTCCCTCGGTTGTGGCCTCTGTGTTGAAGGATTAATTGTCCTAGCGGATATCACCCATAACGTGTCAACTGAAACCTTGTATGTGCTAACAGACTCTGGTTGTCAACATAACGAATTGTTACTTCTGCTAGATTACGCAGGGCTATCGTTGCCACTACTACTAATGTACGATGGCAAGGATTGGACGGAATCATTACTAGTATGTCTTTTGTCCATAAATTGATCTCACAATCTCATGGTTGTTATTTGACGATGAAGCCACGACCACTGGAGGGCATTACATCGTACAAGCCCTGGCGGCTTTATATGAGCGGAACACGATGCACTCTGATCTTCATGAATATATCAAGGAATACATTGGTGTGCAGGTGAGCCTTCATAAAATCTACCATTCTGATGTACACAGCTTATTTTACTTTGGTGCAGTATAATGCTGTCATTAATCAGGCCACTTCAGGAGGTAGTAGCATCTATGGATTACCCTGGACAGGACCACCGAGCTCGTCATTATCCAGTGATAATCAAACTGTAGCTATAAGCGTGTTGCTCAGCGCGATACAGCTTGCAGACGACCAGGCATCATCGAAACCAAGTGATACTCCCATGAGCACAGCCCCGTTGTCAACCAAGAAGGGTCGGACTGGAGTAATAGTCGGCGGTGTCATCGGTGGACTAGCGGTCGCTGCAGCTATAATCGCAGGCATCCTTCTTTTGCGTCGGCGACACCGTCAATTGAACAACACTCTTGTTGTGAACGAGTGCTCCCCACAGATACTCACACCATTTATGGTGACTTCAATAGAGCACCATATGAACCGGTCAATGGGGAAAGACGTGCCAGGGAGAAGGATGGATGCACAGGCTGAGTCGATGACTCCACCCGTGGCTGCCACAAGTCCGCCAAATCCGCTGCCCACTGAGACTCAGAGAAGAGAGGATACACGCATAGAGGAGTTGCTGCGGTTGCTCCATGAATGACTGCAGCTGGGCCGATGGAATCTCTCCGAGGATGAGCTACCACCAGAGTATCATGAAGGACAGACTATGTGAAAGGTGTTATACTCTACTGGCTGTGATCATACCAATTATTCATTTGTGCAGGAACAATGTGAATATGTACATGGCATCAACTACGATACCATGGGATTAATGAAGATGCTATAGTGTCCATTTGCTACAAAAATTCCCTATAACTATAGTGGAGTGACTTTTGTAAAAATCCCTATAACAATAGTAATGTTAACAACCAACTAATTGTCGTCTTAGATCGAACTAGGATCACCACTCACACTTCGGTGGATGATACTCTAGCAAGTCAAAGGCGAGGTCAAAGCTAGTGGAGACAGATAGTCATGAAGGATGGAGTTCGAGTTGGGTAGATTAAACCTTAGCTGAAGCTGGGGCTTAGTCCAGCTGAGGCTCTACTTAAATACACGTTGATAGACTAATAATAGTACCATGAGAATGTGTCCGTTGTGATTGCATATGAGTAATCAGGCTGAGTCAAACAAAGAAAAATGAATAAATCGTAACATTACCCCCTCTCTAAGACTCGTTCGTCCTGAATGAGTTATCAGACTCCCAGTCGTCTTCTGAGGATGAGTGTTCGGATTTGGAGTAAAAAGATGGTATATCGTCGTCCTCGTCTGTGTCGTCCGCATTCCAGTTTTCATGGATACGTTGGAGGTTTTGAAGATTTACGTCTTCTTTGTTGTCGCTTGCATCTTCGACAAGTGGTACTCCATCTGCTTCGTCAGTTGACACCCTTGGCCATTTTCCTTCAATGAAGTCTTTTTCTAATTTGGGGTTGAAAGCCGGGTGCCAATTGATAGGTATGTCCTCGACTATCCTATCAATTTCCTCCGAATGGGCTATTGCTGAGCATTGGGAGGAGGGGACCGTCTCGATGTCCGTGACACAGGGAGTGTCCGGTTCATGATATTTAACATCGAGGTTTGTTGGTATTTTGTCGTCGACCCCAACGGTTCTTCCATGCTTATTGATTTCCCATTTGATCCTCTGCAGGCAGGCTAAGTACTCGTCTACAAGCTGCTCTGCATTGGCCATGTTTGAGCGCTTCACCCATGAGTTCTCCTCCATCGGGTATCCCTTCCACTTGACCAGGTATTTGGTGATTATGTGGCGGTTTCGTCCCCGCCCCACCGCTTTGTCCTGCTGTTCGATGATTTCTTCTATTTCATATTCTTCCTCGTCGTCAATTAGTTCCGGAGGAGGCCTCTCGGGTCGGGGTTGATTGGAGAACTCGGGTGCGTGGTACGGGGTTAGGAGGGATTCGTTGAATCGATTATGAATTTTCCAACCTACTGGAAGCTTAAGTTCATAGGCAGATACCCCCTTCCTGGCGAGGATGGAGAAAGGTCCTATGCGCTGATCTCCCAGCTTCTTGGTTGGGTGCGGAAGGTTTAGGTTGGTAGAATCCAGCCACACCTTATCGCCCACCCGATATTCCCTCGCATCATCCTTATGCTTGTCGTAGGCTTTCTTCATCAAGTCTGCCGCCCTTTCCAGGGACTCCTTGGCCTTCTCTTGAATCTCTTTCATTCCTTGGACTAGTTTTGATGCGGCGGGGACTATGTCCAGGTGTTGGGTCGTCTTGATGACTTGTCCATCCCTTCCGAAAACTACCTTGTAAGGAGAGAAACCGGTTGCCGAATGCTTCTGGTTATTGTGGGTGAAGGTGGCCAATGGCAGCCAGTCGCTCCAGTCATCTTGTCGATAGTTAACGAACATCTTGAGATACTTTTCTATCTCTTGGTTGACCCGCTCCGTCTGCCCATCCGTCTGTGGGTGATAGGCCATAGAAGGGTTTCCATCAATCTGTATCAGCTGGTAAAACTCTTTCATGAACCTTGACACGAAGATGGCTCCTCGATCCGAGATGACCTTCTCAGGCATCACTCCATAGGGCACATAAATGTGGTCCCTTAGGATCTTGGTGAAGCCCAAGGAGGTAAGCTCCTCAGTGCATGCAATTGGAACGATCGTCTTGGAGAACCTATCAACAATTACCAGGATGGAGTCAAACCCCTTTGAGTTAGGGAGTTTGGTGATCATATCGACCGATATATGGGTCCACGGGCGATTGGGTACCTCATTTGGGTGGAGAGGCGCCTTTTTGGGATGTCGGTCCACCTTGGTTTGCTGACAGACTTCGCATCCTTTCATGTATGCTTCCACTTCCCGGCACATGCAGGGCCACCAGTAATCCCAAAGAAGGAGTTCTTTGGTTTTTTTCCACCCCGGGGTGCCCTGCTGTTACATGGTCGTGTCGGAGGGCTATAATTTTCCCTCGCAGTCTCCTGTCCATGGGAACATAGATACGTCCGTCGTACCAAAGTAAGCCTTGATCTCGGGAGACTCCCTTTTCATGGTTAAGGGAGTCAGAGATTCCCCGGTCCCATTTACAGGGATCATGGGTGGCTAGTTTGATTTCCTTGTGCAACTCTTCCTGCGTCGGCATTATCAAGGCCCTAAAGTGTTCGGCCTTTAAGACGACCACGTCCTTATTGTCGTCTCACCCCTGGTCATGATCCGCTTGTCGTGATAACAGATCGGCTTTGCGGTTTTGGGCTCCCAGTTTATGGTGTAACGTGAACTGGTACTCTGCTAACTCTGTCACCCACCGAGCTTGTCGTCGATTGAGCTTTTGGGGCTTATGGAAGTATTGGAGGTTGGAATGGTCCGTCCAGATCTCGAAATCTTCTCAGGCGCCCATAAGGTATTGGTGCCACTCTTCCAAGGCGATCATGATGGCTAAGAGCTCCATGTCGTAAATTTCGTAATTCTGTTCCGTCGTGGCTAATGCCTTCGAGAGAAAGGCTACTGGATGCCATTTGTCATCTTGCAGTTGTGACAGAACGGCCCCTACAGCCCCCTCGCTCGAGTCTGCCTCGACCCGAAACTTCCCTTCATCGAGCGGTATGGCTAATACTACATCCTCCCAGAACAACTCCTTTAGTTTGTCAAAAGCCCCCTGTTGGGCCCTTCCCCAATTCCATTCAGCCTTGCCCATGAGCATCGTCAGCAGCTTGACATGCTTGCTATAATCACGTATGAACCGTCGATAAAAATTGCAGAAGCCTAAAAAGGATTGTAGCTCCTGTTTCTTGTGAGGAACTGGCCAATCCAGGAGGCCTGCAATCTTTACGGGGTCCATATGAAGTTTCCCCTCACTAATGATCACTCCCAAATATTCAGTCTCCTCTACTTCGAACTTGCACTTTTCGGCTTTTAGGAATAAGTGGTTGTCCCGAAGGATCTTCAGCACTTTTTGCACAATGCGTCGATGTTCCGTCTTTGATTCGGAGGCTATGAGGATGTCGTCCAGATAAACTGACACCTCCCCTGCTGCAATGAGGTCTTTAAATATATCGTTCATCATCCACTGAAAAGTGGCCGGGGAATTGGTGAGTCCGAAGAACATTACCAAGGGCTCATAGAGGCCTCGGTTAGTCCTGAAGGCTGCCTTCCATTCGTCGCCTTGTTTGATCCTGACGTTGTTATAGCCCCACCGCACATCTAGTTTGGTAAAGTACTTGGCTTTCTTCAGCCTGTCCATCAGCTCCCCAATGAGCGGTAGCGGATATCGATTTTTAATGGTCATTTCATTGAGTTTTCGATAGTCCTGTACCAGGCATAGCTTCCCATCCTTCTTTTTGATGAAGAAGAAGGGCGACGCCATCGGGGATTTGGAGGCTTGGATGCAACCAGTGGAAAGGTTTTCGTCGAGGAACTTATCCAGCTCTTCTTGCTCTGTGGGATTAAGAGGATAGACCTTACAGTCTAAGTTGGCGTTAGCATTAGGGATTAATTTGATAGCGTGGTCCCAAGGCTTCCGCGGGGGTAGCTCGTCGAAGTTTTCTTTGTCAAAAACGTCCTTGAACTCCCTATACTCTTCCGGTACTATCTCCTCAAAGGATTTGGCTGCCTTTTTAGAGTTAGCCCGGGCGGCCAATTCGTTGGCTTTGGTGCCCATTGCTCGAACGTGAAAGGCCTCCTCAAAATCTATTACTAGAATGGTATCTCCTTCCTCGTACTCATCCCAATGGGAGGAGGGATCTGTGTCTGGTAATGAAAAGGGAATCTTGTGACAGGCACAGCGGGCAAGGGTGACAGCGCCGGTGTCCCAGTCGATAAGCGGGTTATGTCTTTGGAGCCAATCATGTCCGAGGAAGAGAGGCATGGTGCCTAGGTCCACCACTGCTAATTCTATTCGTTCCATGTGGTCTCCAATGCATAGCCGCACCTCGGCGTATTCCGTGATGTCTCCTCCCTTATTCCTTGTGCCATTGGCATTGTAAACAGGTATGGATCAAGCTGCCCTTTTGAGATTGAGGGCATGATCCCGTGCCCAGGCACGGTCTATAGAACTCCCAGTTGCCCTGCTGTCTACCAATGCTTTCAGGGTATGAACCTCCCACGTATCCAACGTTTCCAACTGCACATTAATCGATACATTATGCCCCTTCCATCCTCGAATGTACATAGGGGGTTTCTTTAAATCTTCTATCCATTCCCATCTATCCTGGGCTTCTCCTGCGGTTTCTGGCTGCTCCTTGAGTGAGTCCCACAGCTCGAGTGTGACCTCCCCTGTCCGACGTGGATGTACCCACCGTTTTAAGGTGGCGAAGGCAGAGGCCTCGTCTTTGGCGAGGCGTAGGGCCCGACGGGTCCAATGCATTCCGAAGGGTTCATAGTACATGTTGAGAACTGCTCTCTTGGCCTCGGGTCCCAGTTCAGGCTCGGGGGTCACCGGAGACGTCCCCTTGAGCCTGGTGATTGGGATGTCAGATCGTAAGTGAGCTTCTTCGTCTTCTACTTCTTCCAGTGAGACACGAGATTTCTTGCCTCGAGGTGGCAGTTGGTCACCGGGCCGGTCGATAAGGCCCCTCGGCAGCATTTGGTCACCTTCCGTCGAGTGGATAGAGGAGGGCTTGCTGCCCTGTGTTCGGCCCTGGCCAAGGGCGCTTGCACACAACATTGCAACCTCTCCGCTGTGTCCATACTTATCCTCATTCCTAACGCTGGCGGTACTCTCGGTGGCCCTAGGCAGTCGCACACATATTGGCTCCCCCAGGGGGTCGGCACTGTTTGCAGGTGAGGCC